GCTGTGTTCCCACAGTGCCCAAGTCAGCACTATAAAGCCACTCCTCGGGGAAGATTAATAATTTAGGAATAAACTGGAGCCTCTATTGTGTTCTGAGGAGGCTGTTTTATTTACTTATCACGACAATGTCTGAGCCCCTTCCGGTAACGCAGTCAGATTTCTGATGGACGTTTGGCACGTTCTCTTGTCCTGTCCCCAAAAAGAGAAGCCCAATTGCTTGGACAGCAGGAGGCACTTGCTCAGGTGCTGTACCCCATGACTCAGATAATGAGTTAATCCTATTAAGGGCATTCAGAGTAGGGTCTAATGTAGTCACAAACAGGGGCCACTCATGGTCCATTGAAGGCTTAGGAACACAAACTCTCAGAGAAAGAAGCCTTGTCAACTGATTTGGTATCTCTCTCTGCAAACTCAGATTCATTGAATCCACATAGACCACTGGGACCCATTTATCCTCTTCAGTTTTCCTCAGCGATTCCTGGAACTGTTCTGGGATAGCTTTTCCCGGGCAAGCCTGTGTGCCAGCACCCCTGTCCCAGAGTACACATGTGACCTCAGTTCATCCATTTTGGTTGAGGCACCCAGGAGTAAATACTGTGCTTTAAGTTCACGGCTGTCACCAACACCAGATAGATTTTCTGTGAAAAATAAGAGTGTCCTGAAAATGTTGGTGGTTGTCTCAATTTGCAGCAAAGGTGTAATAACACACAGCACAGTTCAGGAGCAAGATCAAGCTATGAACACAGGTGCAGAATAAGATTAAGAGAGAGATGTGCTTACCTTCCTGTTAGCTAAACTGAGGGGCTGCAACTCCTACGGGAAGTGCTTAACAAGAAAGGAAAGAGTGATTGAAATCCAATTGAATCTGCATGAGGCATCTTTCATGAAACTAGCACACTGAGAGATCCCTTCTGAGAAGCCTTGAAATGGGATGACCTGAAACTGGCTGGTTTACAGGAATACACAGTGCATAGCAGTCTCTCCATTAGCTGGATGGAGGGAACAGCTTAGTCACCGTTAGGGGAACCATTCACAGAGAGATGAAACCTTCACCTCCTGTTGCAACAGAGGAGTCGTTGCTTTTTCCTTGCCTACCATTTATGTCACCACTTGTGCGTGGCAGGAGACTCTCCCCCACTTCCCAACGTGCTTTCCGTGCCACTGAGTCACACCATTGGTGTCCCTGTGGGGAGGTGCCCAAAAATTAACATGTCATGGGGCACGTTGCAAGTACCTTGGCTGAGCAGCCACTGCGGCACAAGAGAGTAGGTATCCATGGGTAGATGTTTGAGTAACTCTGCAGTCTCTTACTGAAACTGCAGCTCTTTACAAGAAGCACAGAAGTCCTCCAGGGGCTTGACTCAGTGGCCATGAGGTAAATGCCTTTCATCAGAGGCCAGCTGAAAAGTTCCCCGAAATCAAAGGATACTCATGCTGATCTCAGTGGGTTTTTATCCAGAGGTTAAGGGTGTGGTGTTAGGTTTGCAGAGGGGTTAAGATGTTACTTCTGAGTGGGAGTTAAGGGTGGGTCCCTCCTGTCAAAGTCCTCCTGGCAGCAGCACCCTTGTGTCCAAGGTTTTGAGAATTGAGACCTCTGTGTGAAGGGATTCAAACCCTCATTTCCCACCCCATGTGGCAGAGGGTTGGAAGAGATGATCTCACTCCCTCGTGCTGAAGCTGTTCCACTTGACACAGATAAATTAAGTATTGATGCAAGTATTGATTACTGTTGTGCTACGTATTGGAAAACTTATCCTTGTCCTTTCATGGATGTTTTTCCATCTCACTATAATTAGATGCCCAGGTGGATACTCGTCCCCCTGAGGAGGTGAGGCTGGGTTTTCACCACGTCCTGTAGGTCTGGCCTAGGGCTGCAGGTGCTGGCTTGTGTTTAGAGACAGTTTGAAGAGCACAGTGAGTGCAAAGGAGGAGGAGATCCTCTGAGAGGCTTACTGTGCATTGGAAATCACTGGCTGGGACTGGGAACACCTCAAGTAGGATGTTTCTAAGGAAAAGATGCGGTCTGCAGGCACCTTTTGAAAAACACCTTAATGCTTTTGCATTTTGGAAGCCCTTCGTGTGCAGGATGCAAACAAAGTAGACTCAGAGAGTCCTACAAATACTAAAGCCCTGAAACCAGAGCAGAGCAAAACAGTTCCTCCCACTTCGTGGTTTGATCTATGTTCTTTTCAGATTTTGCTCTGAATCACAAGGTTAATGCAGGTCTTACAGCAGAGAGCCATTTTCAGTAGAAACTGAGTAGTTTCAGTTAAAGTGACGTACAAATGCAATGGTTTCATATCTATGAGGCAAAATGAAAAGGAAAATGCATTTTTGGTCAAAATAGCTGCTGGATCTTTTGACCAAAAGCAGATTTTCCAATGAGGCTACTGTTAAGGTACACCTGCATCAGAGGTGAATCTGCCTGGGCTTCTCCTAAAGCATAGCAACAATCTGTCCTGCAGTTCTGACCTGGTGTAGTTGGTAATCTCTGGGCTTTTTGACATAAGTCGTGGTGCTGTGTCCCAGTGCTGTTCACCGGCATAGGGGGCATTGCCTCAGAAATAGGAAGCAAACAGTAGTACAGCCAAATGTTACTCACAGACAGAGAAAATAGAACTTAAATAGAACAGGTTTTTTGTAACATCATGTAAACTAAAGCTCCGTTGTCTGTCAACAAAGTCATCCCTGAGTAATGGCTGGCACCAAGGGAGACAGCCCTTACGTTTTGCAGTTTATCAGCCTCTCTGTAGGGTGAATATTTGCACAAGATAAAGCTTTTTTCTTTCCTTTTTTTTTTTTTTAACCTTTCCCGAAATCAACTGAGAAATGCATGATTTCTCACTAAAAACAACACAACATTCTGCAATTCTGCCAGAATCAATAGATTCCAGCAACGCCTTTGATGTGGAGATGTGTTAGTGCAGCAAACTCACTGCAGTCTGGTTTTAATGCTTTCGGTGTGTGCACTCTCATCAGAGGAGAGTGGAGAGAGGGAGATGAAACAAGAACACAAAACGCATTTTACATGACACCTTCTCCCACCCAGAAGCAGAGAAGCACTTAAACCTCACAGTTCCTCTCTGGATAGTGCTCCTGTCAACAGCTTAAAGCAACATTGCCTAAAGTGGCATTTATCTTTGGGGCTCTCTATCAGATTCCTTTCTGATTTTGTTACATACACGTTCCTCGCTGTTTATGCCATACATGGTTAAAGGGAATCTTTGTTGCTTCTCCACAGGTTACAGCAAGGTCAGGACTGAGCACTGTACATCCTTTCGTGTTGTAAATGTTGGACACTTAATCCCAAAGGCTCTGTCTCAGAGGTGCAAATGCACCTACAAGGGTACCTTCTCTCCAGTCCGCACATAAGGTTACCTCCGCACGCAAAACCCGGCAGCCATGTGGGATTCCAGGCAGAAAGGAGCCAGTTTCTCCCTGCTTTAGGTTTATGTTTAAAGAACTGGTGAGAACTGATTTATCCTTGAGCTGACCTATCTCTGGGAGTTCTGAGACAGGCTAAACAACCAGACCCTGGAGTGACGGGGATGGTGGTCCCAGCTCTGGCCAAGGGCCACACAAGATGCCCTTGCCAACCCACAGTCCTGCTCCGGTTCCCCAAGCTGTAAAGGTTTGTCTTGTTTGCTGGACATCTTGAGAACAGTCCCACAGCACTTACACATAATTCATTTGCAGTCCATTAAAACAGGAAGGCAAATGTCTGCTGCCTTTGGCTTGTCAGTTGGTGAGCGTCGGCTTACCTGAGGTGGCAGAGGGAGGTGATGTGATTTAGGTTTTCAATAGTTTCTTCAGCCCAGCCCATCAGACAAAAATCAGGGCCTTGGTGAGCAACACAAACCATTTCATTACAGGTGTTTGCAGGTTAGGCCTCCCTTCCCTCCTCTGTCCCAAGGAGCATCACAGCAGTAGCTGAGGATGCCAGCCTGCCTGAGGAAGGACTTGGGAAAGATGGAGCAAGCCCACCCTTTACGCCAGCACACATGGAGCTGAGTCTGTGTGGTGAGTTCATCCTCAGAAAACCTTCTGTCCTCCACCACTGAGAGGCAGAAAGCCAAAGAAGCAAAGAGCAGGACAGGTGGTGCTTTCTTTCATCACAGAATGGTTTGGGTTGGAAGGGACCTTAAAGATCACCCAATTCCAACCCCCCTGCCATGGGCAGGGACACCTTACACTAGACTAGGTTGTTGCAAGCCCCTTTCAACCTGGCCTTGAAGGGATCCTTCCAGGGATGAGGAATCCACAACTTTTCTGGACAATATGTTCCAGTGATTCACTACCCTCAGAGTAAAAATTTCTTCCTAATATCTCATCTAATCCTAGTCTCCATACAAAAACTCAGGATACCCCTGAATTGTCACAATGGGGGAACTGAGTCTAGTTTTTGGGGTAGCAACTAGCCTTGTGATCCTCCAGTTGAGGAAATGGAGGAATAACCCACATCAACAACAGATCTGAAGAAAGAAATTCAGAGAAAAGGAAAACACCATGCTTGGTCAAAAGCCTCCATGTTCCTCAGCCCTCAGAGCTTCTCCATCTCCTTGAGGGACCATGAGAGCTTGGTTGATTCCTCCAGCTGCAGGAGAGGAGGTGACCAGGGAGCAGTTTAAATACCTCCAACACCAGTCAGTGACCAGTTCTGGTTTGTATCTCTTGAGGTTCAGAAGCAGTCTGACAGAAACAGAAGGCTACGTTGCTGTTTGTGGCACACAAACAGATGTTTGAGAGGAGAAACGTCTCTGCAATGGATGAATCTGCTGTAAAAGTCATCCCTAGATTTTTGGGAATTTCTGGCAGTTGAATCCCCTCTGTACCAGAGCTGTCTGAGCAAGGCTGAGTGCAAAGTCACACACCTCTATCTCAGACAGATGCCTGTAAATATGATACAGAAGGCAAAATTAACACCAGGCTAACTGAATTAACTTTAATGAAGTCACTTCTTATTTTCGCCTGTGCACACAGGAGAAAAATGAAGACCTGTAATATCTGTTTTACCATGTCATGGTTTTGTAACACTGGAGAAGATGAATATGCAGTAAACCAGGGACAAATGTCTGTGAACAACTTGATGGATAAATGGTTGCATTCTGGGCTGGTTTACAGTGTATGTCAAGAGACACAGCACTGCCATTGGTGTTCTGATACACATTTCATACTCACACCAGAGTAAGCAGAAGCAAACAATGTCCAACACCACTGGCCAAACATCAAATGAGCTCAGACATTCCTGCTCCAAACCTGATTGTAGAGGATAACATTTCCAGAAATTCTAGTTATTCACCCCTGTGCAGTAAGTTTCAAAATAAAATAGAATCATTAAGGTTGGAAAAGACCTGCAAGATCGTCAAGTCCAACCTTTGACTGATCACCACCTTGTCAACCAAACTGTAGCACTAAGTGCCACGTCACTTCTTGAACACTTGCAGGGATAAATCTTGTACGAGCCATTGAAATCTGTCAGTGGGCAGCTGACAGGCTCTAACAACATGGGATGACTGTTATTTTGCATTTAACAAATGGGTAACTGCTAATCCACACACGTCATGGGGAGGAATAGCAGCCTTTCTCCTACCTGAGGAGTCTCCAGGGTTTTTCTCAGTCCTTTAAATGTCTCTATACACACTGACGTGCCTCTGTGGGTGTGCAGTCGTGCCTCTCCACAGAGTGGGACACTCAGTGAGACACGTCTTCATTGAAGACAGGGTCACTTCTGAAGGGGTTGGGTTGTTTTAATCCCTCCCTGACCACAGCAAACATTTAAGGACTGTGAGAACTTCCTTTGTTACTCATGTGCCTGGTAAGGACATACTTCTGAAATAATAACTGCAAGGGATAATAACCCCTAACAGCTGACAGCTTTGCCCCACCAACACTCTTTCCTTCTGTTCTGCTGGGGCAGCCCTGCTCTGGGCATGTTTTGGCACTTTGGCTTTAGCTGCTTCACCCTCCAGAAAAGCCACTGTTCTATTGCAAAGCCCTGTGCGTGCCTGTGGGTGCACAGCTGAGGGAGACTTCCTTCTGGTGGGAACTCGGAGCAGGATGGGTGCAAGAGCTGCACAGCCACGTGATCAGGGCTTGTAGGCAGGAGGAGAGCGGTGGGAATCAATAAACAGAACAGGGGCACGAATGCACATATCCATGCTCCCTGGAAATCCCCTGGCTGCCAGTACAGCCTGCCTAGGGAAGAGTTAAAAGCAGAGCTCTGGGAAGTTTGGCCAGATGACTTCCTGATGGAGTTTATACAAGTGTAGCGTGCGCAAGGACGTATGTGCCTACGTGCCACTTCTCCCGGAGCAGCCTGGCCTGAGCAGAGGGAGGAAAAAAAATAATGAAAACATCACAGATGGGTCCAGGCTGAAAACAACCATCTGATGAATGTGCAGGGTCATCACATGCCTCTCATTACAAACCTGCCAGACAAATCTGTATGGTGCCTCCTCTGCTATGTGGCCCCTTTGCCACAGAACAAGGGGGCAGGGGCAGGGGTGAGGCAGGGCAGGGAGGAGACAGAAGAGGACATTAGTGCCAGGAATTCACAGTATCCCAAACCAGATGACAGTTGTTCACCTCTAAGGACATTCCCAGCATCCAGGGAAATAATGCAGTCATCTACAGTCACTGGAATTCCAGGGTGAAGCAGGGGTGATGCAGAGTTGATGCCAGGGTGATGCCAGGGAGATTCCAAGTGATGCCAGGGTGATGCCTGTAAGTGCAATCAGGAGGTGTGATGGTGTGCAGCTCCACACATACACATGTATTGGTCTCATAAGACTTACCCTGGATAAAAGTATCAGTGAAACACTAACACAAGCTTGTTTGCATGAATTGTACAAACCTGGACAGGAACCTTGTACTCCAACTGTCCCCTCTTCCCTGCCATGTGGTGTCTAGATGGCAAACCCTCAGGGTTGCCTTAATATACTCACATGCATGTCCTACTGTGGAGCTGTGACATCCAGAGCTGCTAATCCTGAGGGAAATAGGCTTGTCTGTGCGCAGGAACTTAATTCTCACTGCCATGATTCTTCCAGGGAAGGATTTGCAAAGGTGGCTGATAAAGGCTTGTTCTGCCATGTGCTGAGGGGGAGCCCTCTGGCCTCCTAAAAGAGAGGAGTGGGGACAAATCAAGGACCATGCAGAGTGGCCTGATTGACCTTCTCTAGACAGAGAAGGAAAACTCCATGTTACTTTCATATGGAGTAAATCAACCTTCCTCTCAATTATGTCATTGCTCTAGAGCACATTTGCCTCCTCCTCCTTCAGAGCAGGGTGAGAGGGCACCATCTACGAAAGGATTAAGCACCAGTCCCTTTAGGGATGCTTAGTCAGTGAATCCGTGCTGCTCATTACATACTTTCAACCTGCTGTCATTTGATAATCTTGTGGAAGGGTTTGCAAGTTTGTGCCGTCTCAGAAATTCCTGCTTGTTCCTTGCAGCTGTGCTCAGAGGGGATGTTCTGTGCACAGCGAGATCGTGGCTGATTTCATCAGGAGGTCAAAAGGAAGGTCTTCTGAAGTGCTACTGTTACAAACCCCACCTGCATTCTCAGAGTCAAGCTGGGTTGCTTGCAGAGTCATCATTAGCACCAATGGGTAAAAAGCTGCAGATAGAAATTACACAAGGTAAAGCAACAATAAATAAAAACAAGCAAGCAAACAAACAACCCTTTTCCCAATAGCTGAGCTGACTTTGGAAAGTAAGACTTGAAAATAGTGGAAACTGGACATATAGGTAAAATAAGCATTTTATTAATTGATTTCTTTTAGATCAGAATACTAACACTGAATACTCTCATTTGACCATCCAGATTTCAAAAGTCATCTTATTTTATTCATCCTGCCCCTCTTAATTTTTTTTAATTGAGTCCAAAAACTTATCTTTGACTGGAGCCAAAACAAATCCTAAATTTCCAAGTGCAATTTTTGGAAGGCAATTTTAAGTTTTTACTTGCTTTGTCCCTTTTCTGGATATTCTCATCTTTACATTTCTATCCAAGATCTCAATAATTTCTCATTAGAGAAACATCTTGTTTCTCTAATGCCCAGAGCAAAAGAAACCAGTGGTGTTCCAATCCACAGTGCAGGTAAGGGAATTAAAAGGAAGATGTGTTACATTTTGCACTGGTAGCAAGAAGCCTGCTGAGATGAGAAGCCAGGGAGTTGAGTTTTGCAGTGGCAGATTCAGAGCTTTATTTTCTACCTCTTTGCATTTCACCCTCTCTACAGACTACCACAGGCTCAAGCCTGGATGAGTAGTATTAGGATGAAGCAAGATAGTGGAAAAGAAGTGATTTCGTCTCGATGCAAGCATTTCACACTGGATTGTCTCCCACTTGAGCTGATGTGTTAAACAGAGCTGTTTACCAGTGTGTGGTATACTTAATTTACACTGGGTACACAGCCTGCATTGCACAGCAGCCAGAAGTGTCCCTGCTCCTGGATCTCTGCCTGAGAGCACAGAGTGTGGTTCAGACTCCCTACCTGAACAACAGACATCTGATGCCAGCCACTACAGTAATGCCCCTGTCTGGGTGGGGAGGACAGGCAGCACAAAACAATGTGTGGATTCATACCAGATTTATCCCAAAACCAAAGAATCAAATCCATCCTTCCTAAGAAACAAGCTCCCTTTTCAAAAGAAGAAGAGTAATTTAAGGTCAAATACTTCCATCCCAAGCAACATAAAATGAAGAATAGCAGAATTTGGTTGGCATCCTGTGTGGTTTATGGTTTACCAGCGGTGCCTTGGTCTGGGGGAAGAATGCAATGTCCTGCCTGCACATTGCAGAGGCCAGCAAAGCCCTGTCGCAACACCGCCCGGCAGCTGAGTGACACCAGGTCACATTACATGGGAGCATGCCACGCAGAAAAGGTCATACCCTGGGCTCCAGCCCAGCCTGTCCCACTTGGAAAGCAGGTTCTGTACTGGGCACTGGCTGTCTTGTTCTGGAAAATGCCTGCTCAGGCTCAGCTTCTGCCACCCGAGCCGCCGACAGTGGCTGATGCCAGTCAGGGAAGCTCTGAGCACGCACAGGTGGTAGGGAATAAAAAAAGAAGCCTAAAGGGAGGGGTTGTTTCTTAGAAAGAAAAGAGGAGCAGGCCATTTCTAGTCTGCCCAGGCAGCACAGGGTGTTTCACAAACAGACCTACATGAACTGAAGTGGCTGCCGAGAGCTGCCCAAAAATGAGCTTGACCCTCTTAGCACAACTACAGCTGACAGCCTCCCTTGCAGGACAACTTCTCCCTATTTTTCTTCCTTTTGGGGTATGTCCTGAGCCTCTGCAAGCTAAACATAGACCCACAGGGGCTGGCAGATACCATCAATGCCTGGCATTGCCTCCATAGCTGTAACCTGTCACATCTGTGGCCTCCCCAGGATTTTCTCTGTGTTACTGTGTTATGAAGCCTGTGTTGTAAACCTGTGTTACTGTGTTATAAATCCTTTGCTTTTTAACTTCTTTATGACTTCTCCCTGTCCCTCGCCCATCCATAATCCACTCTGCAGCAACAGCAGTGAGGTTGGTTTCTGCCCAGCTCCAGGAACCCCTGGGAAATGGTGAGCAATGTAGTCCCCAAAGTGTGTCTGCAGGGCACAGGCCAGCATTACCAACCCATAATGGTCTCACACAGCCCTGAAGTGAAAATCAACCTTCTCAGGCAGGAACTGTGCTTGATTTCACATGAGATATACAGGCACACCCTGGCACCTTCTGCAGCCACTGTCACTGGTAGCTGAACTGGTGTTCCCTGGTGGCGCTGCACTGTCCTTGCTCTCCCTACCATCCAACCATCAGTATCCAGAGGAGTGTGTCTCCAGCCTCAGAGGGACTCTGCCCTGGTTTTGTACCACCAGAGTCTTACTGAGGGATTGCATCCAAACTAGGCTCTGGCTTATCCCCACTGGGTAAAATCCCTACTGGTTTGGATTCTTGTAGACCTGGTGGTCTTGCAGGTTGAAAAGGGAAGCATATCCTCAATTTCCCTAGTTTTGGGGGCATAACCAGGCTAGTGTGGCCAGCAATGGGGTCTGGCACATCCAAGGAGTGGTGTGGTTTAGTGCTCAAGCTGTAACATTCAAAACTTGGCTTAGGGCAGGTAAAACAAATGTAGCCACTAAACCACTTGGCACTGCCCATCTTTAAAAATGCCCCGTGGCTTCCTCCCCCACACAGGGTGCAAGATGGGCATTTGTACCTGGTAGTCAGTGAGGCAGAGGGGGAGGCACTTGAGCTTCTCACAAGGGCACATTTCTCACCCAACTCCACCCACCCAAGGGGTGCTGCCCTCTCAGACTGCCAGGCTCAGTGAACAAGCCATGAAGGGAACATGTGCTGGGACCATAAAATGAGATATCAGCTCTACATGGACCACACAATCCAGCACCTGCTTCCACACACGAGCACCTTCCACATCCCCTCCCATCCTTCCTCGTGCAGCCGCTGTGGCCAGCACAGCATCCGCACCCCAGCATCCCAAAAACACCTGCCTTCCTCCTGCAGACATTTGGTCTGGGACACTTGGCTCAGAGCTTAGGCTGCTTGAGCTGGGCTGCAGACAAAGTCCTGCCCCTACTGAATTCAATGGCAGCTTTACCTTTGGTTTAAATGCGGAGTAAATTTTGCCCTCTATGGTGATAACTTGCTGAGCCCACATCCATTCTCATGCCCATCCTACTCTGACAAGCAATTTTTTTCATGCCTCACTTTCCCCCTCTGTATCTAAAAGGAAGCCCAAGTTGAAAATGCACCTTCCCCTTCCTTATGAAGTTCTTTGATACAGAGATCTAAAATACAGCATAAGAGCCAACACTGACCTTCACTTTCCTTTACCGTGACCAGACGCATTTAGTGCCTATTTATGGCAACCTGGTCATTAGCACTATAAGAACGAATTCAGCAGAAAGAAAGCTTTAAACCAAGAATTGGGGTGTGCCTGGCTGTCAGAACACTATTGTATGCTTTCCTCCTCGCCCTATCAAAAGACAAAAGCCGCATTTGATGATTGAAGACACAGAAACCAGAATAGCAACAGGAGCTCCTCCTGCAAAAAAAAGGAATTCCATATTTCCCGAACCCCACATTTCTCCTTTCCTCCACAGTGCTTGGTCCCCTTGGACCTCTCTACAAGGGGATCAGAGCAAGATTTTTTTCCCCAGTTTTCAGTTCACCTCTTGCAGCGAACTCAAGTCAGACCTGGGCTAAGCTATTCCAGCAGTGTCAGAATAACTTCTGACATGAGCATTTTCTTTTTTTTTTTTTTTTCTGTTTTCAGATAAACAAAGGAGCAGACAGATGATGTGAGATGTGGACAGTCTCTTTGTCAGGCAGGGAGCTGCTGCCACTTGCTGGCATCCCGTTATGTACAAGTGAAAAGGTTCTTCCTTCTGCATTTCTTCCCATGGAAGGTTTCAAGGGTGAAAACACATTGAAAGGAGGTGATGCACCTCCTCCTGAGTCCAGAGGAATTTTTCATTTATGGTTTCAGGTTCCCTCATAGCTCTCTTAGCACCCATGGGCCTTGCTAGTGCACATTTCCTTTCATTTTCTCCCTGTGCCTCTTCCTGGAGCAGGGCTGCTCAGTTCTAGCTCTAGAGCCAGGGGAAGACCAGATGCCTTTGCCTCACTGAAACCCAGAGACAGTGAGAACACCTGAGTTAACCAGCTCTTTCACAGCTCTCCTTCTGAACTAAAATCAGACTGGAACAGAGCATTCATGTTCAAATGTGGACAACACTGAGATTGCCTCAGGGAGGAAAAAGAACCTGAGAATCCCACTGTGAAAACATAATGCCCTGATAGGCTTAGTTTTAGTGAAAAAAATTTGGACAGCAGCTTGATATTCCTTGAAAACACATGCACAGGCATCCACTGTATGTACTTGTATGTACATTTTATATATATATATATATATATATATTTATGATGAAAATGGAAATCCTTCCTCAAAGAGGCACTAGGGTGGGCGATTAGATGCAGTAAGGGGGGAAATATAAGAGACTAGATCTTACCAAAAGAGCCCTTTACTCCAGGTGCCAGATCCTGTGGATGCTTGGAAGATGCTGCACAGTCCAAAAGGACCTCTTCTGGCCCCCACATTTCCTGGAAGAAGAGGCTTGGGGATATTTTATGGGTGACACAAATAAGCTGTGAGAAGGAGATTCATGACTCCCAGAAAGTGCACCACGAAGTGACTGGGGAACACCTTTCTGCCCGGGAGGTGAAACTGCTGTGGACAACATAAATGCACAGGATCTCCATCCTGAGAAAGCTCTGTTTGTTTGTTGACCATTGGTTCAGCTGGAGATGAGATAAAGCTTAATTAATGCAGTCCAGTTATGCTTTCGAGGTTAAATTCTTGACACGCAGATAAAAATTATTACAGAAAGTCACTGGCTTACTCCAGCAGAAGTCAAGGGAAGAGAGAACATTTTAACTGCTAACTCAAAGGGGCCTTTTTACAAAACAAACCTTATTAAACGAGTTGCTGTTGGCTCCTTGCTCACAGCCTCCATTGCTTGGCAGACCAGTATCACCCTGGGAAAACCCAAAGAAACAATCTCTCAAACATGCCCTTTTGTGACCACAAATATCTATTTTCTGCATTCATTTGCAAATATTCTGCAACATGTAGTCAGAAAGAGATCAAGTGGATGTACTCGATGATCTTAAAGGTCTTTTCCAACCTAAGTGATTTTATAATTTTAGGATTCTGTGTTGGAGTTGGCCTTTTATCATTGGGAAAATGTCAACTCATTTACATGTATGTCCACAGAATAACAGTGACTTTGCAAATGTCTTACCAGAAACCTTCAGGGTCGTGGTGTCCTACAAATACATATCAACAGCAGACTCATGCACAAAAATCTTACCAAAACCTTCCAAGAAGATTCTGATCAAAAAAAGTAATTATGAGCCCTTCTTGTCTTTCACCTGATCTACAAGCACGGTGCTGTCCTCTGAGTCACAGCAAATAATTCTTCTTTCTGTTATACTGATCAACCAAGTTCCCAATGAACCCAGAATCCAATTATTTCCAAAGCTTTTTTATGAGTCAAATTCCTGCCTGCTTATATCCCTACAGCTGCCAAAATTTTGCATGGTCAAGTGGCAGCCAAATGGAAAAGAAATGGACTGAAATAGGGATGGTGACCGAGGGAGAGAAGAATACTCAGCAGTAGGGATGACCACCTCAAGCTCCTCAAAACACCTCTGGAAACAGGACTAAATAACGAAAAAGGACCTTGAAGTTTGAAACACCTCAAGTTTATGAATGGAAGTAGCAATGCAAGGGAGAGGAAGGGAGCTGGTGTAAGCGAAGGGAGAAGCAGTTTGCTGAGCCCTTCCCCAGAGAAAGCAAAGCCCAGAACTCAGAGATGAGGACAGCGAGGCAAAAGGCAGCAGAAAGGAGAAGAGCAAAAGGAGAGGCTGTGTCCAGAGCTATGGCCACAACGTCAATGGGAGCAAGGCCAAAATGACACTAAATCTGCAGAAGCATCATCAAAATAGCATCCCCCTGACCGAAGCACCACGAGTCTGAGGGTCAGCTACGGGCCAGCTACTGCAGCCGAGTCAGGCGGTTCCCGGGGGACGTGTTCCAGCACATCCAGCTGACCTGGCTCTGGCTCCATCTCCTGCTGTCGCGCCCAGTGCTGTGTCAAACCATCCAACTGGCCCACAGCGCCTTTCAGCGGGACAAGGGGATCACTGGAAGAGCACGTCTGGTGCAGCCTGAGCCAGCGGCCATGTACAGAGTGCCTGACAAACTAGCCCTGCTCTTACCCTGCTGCATTTGTAGCCAGGGAGCCGAATGTATCCCTCCAGGTAGTGAGGTCTCCCAAGGAAAAGGAGTGGCTGAGAAGAGGAAGGAGTTCAAACCAACCCAAGGATGCTGCCTGTGGAGCTGGCCAAGGGAGCAGAAAGGGGAAATGGGGAGAAATAATGATCAGTTTTGTGATCGTTTTGTGATCAGTGTAATGATCAGATTTGTTTTACATGTGGAAGAGAAGAAATGGAAAGGGAGATAATAATAATAATAATATATTTACTACAGATATGCTAGGATTGCAAATAGTCATTTCCATTTTTCCTCTATAACACACACACACACTCTCTTTCTGCCTGTTTTCCTAGGGAAACAAAACACTCCCACCCCCTCCCCCTGACTTTAATAACTTTTGAACTTATTGGCCAGTTCTGATTAAATTTACTAGGAGCCAATGATGTCAAAGTCGACTTCATTCCTGTGAGAGTTTGTCAAGCCAGACAAGGAAGAGAATTTTTCCTATTTGAGGGACTAATATAAACTCACCATTTACCAAGAAACAGAGAACCCATGGCTGCACAAGCCTCTGCAGGGGTGAGGAAGAAAGAGGATGAGGGAGGTGTCCAAACACCAGTAACAGCTCTGGCCAAGCTCATATGGTTGTAGACTTTGAGGCCAGTCAAGCACTAGACACACTGTCATGCTGGTCTGTGTGTTTGGGACACATTCTACTTGCAATGGCATGAAACAAGCTCTCCTTTTGCTCGTAAGTAGGATAAATTATCTTCTTTGCCCGGTCAGAGCAACTCTTGTGGGAATGAAATCATCTTTGATATCCTTCCCTCTCATTGCCTGCCCTTTGTCCCTGGGGGCAGAGCCCTTTCCTGCCTCAGAAGCACGAGTGAGCGGGAGGCCATTCGACATGGGTGCTCTCCTCCCGCTTTTTTTGTTGGATACAGGCACTGCCAAAAACCAACCTGCACAAACCACCGGAATAGGAAAGGAAAGCGTAACAGAATGATCATATGCCTGGTAGGAGGCCAAATGCTAACAGCACACAGCCTGTACGAGTTTGTTAACCTGCTAAAATAACGTAACTCTTTCCCCACCAGTGCATTCATACACAGCTTCTTGCCACGACAGGTCAGTAAAGATTTATTCACCAGGTCTGCGGCACAAAGGGTAGGAAATGCTGGCTGGACACTGCTGGGAGGCTGGTGAAAAACACAGTAAACAGCAGCAAACCCTTGTGCTGGTGGTGACCGTAAGTGCTTTGGTGCTTTTGCTCTTGCTGAAAGCTCCAGTGGTGGCTATAAATCTTCTGCTGTCGCTTGCGGTGGATATTTACTAATTACAGCATCAGCACGTCTCGTACCAGTTGTGGTTCCTCGGGATAGCCTAGCAAAGGAGCAGAAATAGTTTTGCAACCAAGGCAGGTTCAAGGAATGAATGCCTCAGCACTGCTCTGGCAGCAGTGCTGGGAAGCCAAGGATCACAATACAGAAAACAAGGATGTTAATTCTGCCTAAATAACAGACCGCGTTTCCTACACCCGGCTGTTCTAGGGAGCTAATTACACACATTCCCAAATCAAAGAAATATGAAACAGTCTGCAAACGACTGCAATGTTGATGTGTTGGCAGTCCAAACCATGACATATGGTCCTTCACTTTGCATCCCAGAGAACAGGCTCATGAGCAACGCTCGTTACGCAAAATTATGTCGTAAATAACAGAAAGAGGCTGATTTTAGAAACGTATTTGAGGTAGCCTCCCTCCTTAGCCCCACGAGAAGACAGTCAGTGTTTCATCAGAGCTGCTGCCAGCCTGGTGATAGGTTCCCAAATGTACCTCCCTTGAGGGGGAAGGAAGGTGAATCATATCCAGGCAGGATCCCGGCTCAGTCAATACCCACACACAAACTTTGCTAGGACAGCACTCAGGTTGCAAAGTCAAGATTTCGGCACCGACACTCGCTGAGCACCACGTGCACCTGCGTGTGCCACCAGCCCTGATTTGGGAGTGCTCCACTGTGCTCGTCAGCAGGATCTGGACCTCAAAATTCATCACCTGGACCTCCACCATGGACCTCACGGGATAAGGGATGCCTCCACAGACCACCTGTAGGCCAGGAGGGGAGTGGGGTGAGACATGAGCACCTCAAAGGCTTCCAGACCCGCAGCAGCCATGTGGAGGTTTGTCGATCTGCGGTCCTAGCCGAAGAGGTGAGCGTCACTCCCCGTGGCACAGGGTTTGGGCCATTCCTCAAAAATTAGACTCTCCTCCCTCCTCCTCCTCCTCCTTCATGCTGCCCTTGCCTGAGCATTTCCTCTTCCTCCACTGCAGCAGTGCCTCGCTTCCTACCTTTACAACCTGACCTGCTGCCACCACCCCACCTTGGCCCCTGGTCAGCCCCCCAGTTCATTCTCTGTCCCCCGTGGACACCCTGGTGCTGCCCAGCAGAACCCCTGAGGACCAGACCAGAGCTCCTGTCTGGTAAGCACAGAAGTGATTTTTCCCTGTGCGAAGGTTAAGGACAGAGCTGATTTGTTTTCTCATTACCCTTGGGACTACAAAACTCAGCTGCACAGAGCAGCATCCTTGCACTGAGCACCTCAGGGCACTGAGATCAAGATTTTGGCCCAGAAGGCAGGTAACCCCAGCTCCCCTGCCTGCATGCTCAAACCACGCTCCTCCTGCCCCCTCAGGACCACAGGGCAGCAGGAACAGGCAAGGAGGAGGGTGACCTGCACCACTCCTCCCTTAAGGTCTTCATTTTGGGCTTGTAATCCTGGGCAATGGATTATTTTTATGTGCACAACACATGATCTGGACACAAATCATTTGCTGGGGAGTTAATTAGTCGAGAAAAGGCTAAAGGGGCATGGTACCTTTGCACTTACCTGCCTTACTGCACACTGAAATCCCAAAGTCTGGCATGCCAAGGGCCACTGGTTGCCCTCCTCTCACCCTGCCTGTGTTTGTCCTTCAAATGGGCAAATATAACTCACTTAATGGCATAGAGGAAAGCCTGGAGAGGCCACAGGAGCATTGTGCCTCTTGGGAAGGAGACAGCAGATAAACAGGATCAAGGAATTTTGCATAGCTCAACCTGCCAGTTTCTGTAAAAAGGAAATGTAGGCAGTGCCTGCAGCCCTGATTCAGAGGAGAAGCCTTTGAAATGCCTGCCAGTCAAAACGTGTTAAGATACAAACTGCTTTTCCTCCATAACAGGGCAGAGTGCAGGGAACAGCCCTCCCTCTGTGGAGCCCACCCTGCGCCAGGCACAGTTTGTGGAGCTCAGCCGGATGGCAGGAGCTCTGGGAGCCAGGCAAAGCGGTCCTGATCCTGCATCACAGGCTGGTGCTGGTGCTGGGATTCAAACAGAGAAGTCCCCTGCAACATATTCTGTTATGGACCAGACGGAAAGATTCCACTGAGAATTTGTTTCCCAGAAAAATCTTGATTTTTTTTCACCTCTCTTTGTTGTTGTTGTTGTTGTTGTTGAAAAGTGCTGAAAATGAAAATATTTGGAAGGGGGTAGGAAGGGGCTAGATTTGGGATTTTCTTTAGAGAAAGTGTCTGGATTTTTCAGGTTAGTTCTGACCCCTGGTCTCACAGCAGCAGGTGTATTCTACTGTGGCTAGGTCTTTGCCCTGCAGGAATATGATAAGAGAGGGGCCACCCTGACATCACATAACTCTGCCCTCAGCAGTCTTGTTCCTCAGGAAGAGTGGACAATGCCTGTAAATTGCCTCTGCTCCAGGACAAGAGACACTGCCAGTGTGTCTCCCCAAAACCAGAGTCCTTAATATCCTCTCCTCGCTCCTGGTCACAGCACCAGAGGATGAATGCTGATTTTTGTGAGCTCTCTGTGAGCAAGCACACAGTGAAGCCTGTGAGGGCTCTGCCCATTAAGCCAAAGAGGAAGATATTGGGAGAAAGGGCAGGAACACTGTAAAAATAAGTTGCTGCTATGGGATCAGCTCCATGGAGCACCAGCCCAGCTCGTATGGTGTCACTGGGTGCCCTGTTGGTGCTCTCACTGGTGGCTCTGCCTTTTTGCCCGTCAGGTTTGGAAGGGAATGGTGCCTTGAAAGCACAGAGCCAGGTTTGGGCATTTTAGTGCAGCTGGGAAGAGGGGGGAGATGAAAATCAGAGCAGAAACCAGAACAGCCTAAGCACTCCCAGTTTTGCACAGCCATAGGGGAGCTCTGACAGGAACAACAGCAGCATCCACCATCCCAGCTGGAGGACAAGCAGCCTCTTACATGGAGCCAGAAATCCTCAGCAGAGACCTGGGGCAGGCACGTGGGGACAGTAGCTGGCACAAAATGATGGAGCTGGCCCAGGGTTGTCAAGGCAGGACCAACCCCTCTCTTGGAAACATGGACAAAAGGATGAACACAGGAGGTGTGCAGCAGGATGTGTATCCCCTGGGATAGGAATGAGACAACCCATGCAAAGGGTGGTAGTGTGAGGTGTTGGGGACTTCCTGCGTGCCCAGGGTGCTCATACAGGGTTTGACCTTGTCCCTATAAGTGAAGGGAAGTGGGGCAGCCCTTGGGCAGCTTCCAGCCATGGAAAATAATGCTTGTGTTCCTCAACGGGAGCTCCAGGTTGGGCAACCCGGTCCCATCTTTGCAAGAAGGTTGAATCTGCAGCTTTTGCACCTACAGGGCCAAATCAAACCCCAGCATATATAACCACGAAAAATGTTGTATTACTGGAGTAGTCATTTCTAACCAAGTCCAGCTAAAATGAAGAAAAATCTAAGCTTTTCTTTATTTTTTACTTTTAGGGTTTCTTTTTGAATTATTTATTTGCAGGTAGAGATTCAGAAAAGCTTTTTTCAAAGTTGGTCTGGACAACATTCTGTTAAAACTTACTCTTCTTCTACACAAGTGTCACCCACCACTAGCAAGTTATAAAGAGTTAAGTGAAGAGTCACGTCTGGTTTTCCCGCATCTCATCTGAATTTTGTCTCTTTCACATCGTATTGTATTTGTTCTGTCCCTCAGGGTACTCCCATCCTTGGATGAGGTTTTAGTGTGGCTGTTGAATCCTGTTTGGATGGACTTCCAGGCAGACCCAGACAGCTGAAGGCTTGTCTGCAGGGCACATGAGAGGGGACCATTTTGGAGCAGGCACGGGGAGAAGCTGCTTCTTCAGGCGAGGTCTGACGTGTGGAGGGTTTGTTTCCAAAGCAGCCCACCCCTTCCCAATCTCCTGGGCCTGGAGGGCTGTGAGCAACCTGCTTTGCTGGCCCACTCCACAGAGCCCTGTGTCCTTCCAATTGCCCAGGTTTACAGTTCAGCCATTGCAGACCTGTTGGCTCTCAGGAGCCAGCAAACACAACACCAAATCATCAGGGGTTGGCAGCACCCAGGCCGGGAGGAAAGTGGAAGACCTGGGGTGGAGAAAGAGAAAGGGGTGGTCCTGAGAAGAAACTCAGCTACCTCTACGAGTCTTTCTCAGGTACACTGTATATCGAGTTACATCGTGGCTTAAGACATTAGAGATAGGCAAGAGAAGATGTAAGTTTGGAAGATTTGTCAAAGAAAAGTTTAAAAAAAAATCAAATATCCCACTGCAGTCCAAAGTAATAGCTCAGCTGCTAAAAAAGGTGGAATTAAATAGGTCAAGCTGTAGAGCTGTGCTACTTTATGCCAGTTAAAGGAACTAGCTTCTCATCTGCTAGGCTGTTTCACCACTTGCTGTTCCAAGGATCCATCTCTCTGCTAGTAATGATGTCAAATAAATCTCCACTAAAATGTAAAAATGTTTATGATGATACTTACTGACCTGTTCCTTTATTAAATGAGGACAATAGGATGATGCCTTGATATTTACTAATGGGTTACTCCCATCTAACCTTTTCTTATTCATCCAGATCATCTGTTTTCATTTCATCATTCAATGGCTGCCAATAAAATTAAGTCAATTAAATTAAAGGTCTATTATGTTCTTTCATATCAGGCTGAGGCCTGTTTTCTTTCCCCAGTCAATACTCTGAGAAGATTTTTGATAGGGCAGCTGGGAAATCTGGAGCAGATTCTCCTCTGCTGGAAATTGGTTTAGTTTTTCAAAAATCAATGGAGTAGCATCAGCTTACCCCAGCTGAGGGCCTGAACCCTGATGTGTAGGAATAAGCCTCAAGCCTGTTTTTGGGCCAAGATTCATATCTGGAATCACTCCCTCATGCAATCTCAAAGACCTTGTCTACTTATCAAAGTGTTAGAAGTTCCTTATAATATACGTGGTGCAGTTACACCATCATCTCCTCTCTACAGAAATATTCCAGTATAAAAATGGCCTTTTATATTTGACTTTAAATGTGAGCTATTCCCAAGAGGTGTAAGTGAAATCAATAAAAGACTCTAATGTCACATAGTGGTGTCTGCATGAAGCTGTCTGCTTTGGTTTTGTGATATAAACCAGTTTATTTTATTTTTTTTTCCAGTGTAGACAAGACTTTAATATCTCATTCTGTGATCATTTAAATAAAAAAGCAAACAGAGGAGCAATGTTCTCCATCCAAACAAAATCCCAAGCTCTAGCCTTGAAATGCCATTCAAGTATCTCAAGAACTAGTGGTGGGTATTACATTATTTATATACATTTATTCCTCTGCCTTACTGTGGGACAAATGCTTTGGGAAGAGCTGAACATGCCCCCAACATGGGATATGGAAGTGAGGGGAGCTCCACTGATTCAAATATCCCCAGCGTGACTCATGTCTGGTGTGGTCTCCAGTTCTGTCTTATTTTCTGTTATCTCAGTAACTCTGGCATGTCTGATAAAAACAGGACAGGGAATGGCCTCTCCTGTGGTGGAGCAGGATGGATGTCTCCAGTCAGCCAGTGGGAGATGCTGGGATTGCAGCCAGGGGCTCCGACCCATCCAAGGGAACGCAAGATGTACAAATCCACTTGCACCTCCTAAGTAGTTGCAACTGGGAGATAAGCCATTAGTGGCACTGGGAGCACAGCTTGGCAAGGTTTGGGGGCTGCAGTGTGAGACCAGGCTCTCAGCTTCTCAGGAAGCCTTGGACTGCAACTTCCAGCAGCAGGACTTGTGGCCTGCCTTGGTGGAAACCCTGCACTGCGGCAAACACAGCGGGATGTGGGGATGGGGGAATTCCTTTTCCAGGCACAGGTGATGGCAACTGCTTGTGCAAAAGGCTGTGTGCTGGCACGTGGTCATGGAAGAGAGGGGAAGCTGCCAGAGAGCTGAGGACAACCATGAGGAGACTTCCCGAAAGGTGTTGGGCTCCATCCCACGGAATCCTGGTGGAGCGAAGGACACCAACTGGAACTGCAGAAATGGTTTTCTTCAATTCTGTCTCATTGGGTGGGGATGAGACCTGCCTCTCTACAGTCCAAAACAACAGGTAAGACAAAGGGTATTGTATCTGTCTTAAAGGCTCACATTGCCCCAAGACACATTTTTCTTCTTGAGTTTTAGTGTCTTGTCCCTAATAATAAAGAAGGATTGCAGATCTTTTCTGTAAAATTCTAATAGGACTAGCAAAAATGTCAGAAATAAACCCAACCAAGACAACATCACCTAGCTCAGGTGACAATCTTGAATTGCTTTTTTCAACTTAAAAGTGGTGAACCTCCCTTAATGCTCCAAATGCTTTGTCAGAAGTCATCTGTAAATTTTTAAGTCATCATATCTGTGCTGCTGTTATATTTGAAACTCCAGCCCTCTGTTAGCAATCATCTCAAAGTGCACAGGTAGAAAGTGTTTTGACAGTCTTCCTGCAAACTTGGTGGCAAGGTTAGCACAATCCCCACCAAACCTAGACAAACTGTGCTGTGAAAGGAAGGCAAACAAAGACCTGGAAGAGCCCCTTCACAGAGGTTGAGAGAAGAGACAATGTTTACCCAAAAATCGTAAAGCAAACTTGGGAATTAACACTGAACAGCTTTGTGGGTATTTCCAAGTGAGAGACTTTGTAAGCAAAGCTTTATTTGACTCTCTGCTGTCACAAATGTGAAACCTCTTCTAACCCTAATTAACTCAAAATGTTTGACATCTTAGGAAAGCTTTGAAGTACAGAAGGACTTTCTATTAGCCAAACCTACAGCGCAGTCCAGAAGTTCAAACTTCAAAGTTTTTCAATTTGCATAAGGCATTGTATAAACTACAAGGCAAGCTCACACAACAGCCAGCAACCTGTTTGGCTCCTAGAGTGCATTTCTCCAGGATAAAAGCCTTAAAGTGATCTACAAATTTCTAACTGTATGTAGAAAAACCTCTTTTCAGACCCAAGGGGCATGAATATGAATGCAAGAGATATGGTCACATTGTGAAAAGGCAAGGCAGAAATATCCCTTGCATGGTGTTGCAAGGGGGATAGGATAAGAGTTCAGGGTCAGACCTTCCTCTGAGCCAATCCCTTTGTCACTGAGCAAGGGATGGACCTGAGATATCCTAAAGTTTCTTGCCACAGCAGTCCCTACTCAGTCTAGAGACTGGCTAAGGGTAGAAAGTTTAACACTCTGTTTCCTCAAAGAATCCTGTCATTCATTTATGGGTTTCCAGCTCTAAGTGGTCTCTGAAACGATGCAAACAAGATTTGGTTGCCCATTTCCTCTTAATGACCCTGCTGTGTGCAGTTCCATCAGCTCTGTGCAGAGCTAATTTCTGCTGAACAATCACAGCTCAGCTGCTGGAAACCCACATGCCATCCATTTCAAGAACTGTAAAGGTGAACTTCCTCCTGGGAGATCCACACCCCTCCTGTAAACGTCGAATTAATGGAATTACGTTGAGGTAAAAGTGATGCAAATGAAGAGAACACTTACTTGGCAATTTATGTGCTGCGTCAGGAAAATGTTATCACTTCTGACCTGTCAGGGGTATTCTCTGTTTACTGATGCCTTTGTAAACGCAGCAGTCATTTTGATGAAATCCTTATGTAATGATTACATCAGGAGAGTTACACCACTGAAAAAAAAAAAAAATCACAGCATTTTCCATCTCTGCACATTAGATACCAGCAATAATGACTTCCGTGACATTATCCCTGTGCAGAAGTGAAGCAGAAGAGCTCAGATTCCTGCGTTTTTGTCAAGGCAATGCATAGGTTTAGTTGCTTCCAGTCATTCACACTGAAACAGCATCTTGAGGTGCTTTTACTACATTACAGCAAAGCAAGCAGTGTTAGTCACAGCGGGGCCACAAGTCACTAGTGCTTCTCATCAGGTGAATGCTGAGAGCCACAGCCAGGAGAGCTTGGTGTTGGTGAAAGAGGAAGGGAAGGGGATGATGTGCTTACACCTGATGTGCTCACAGAAGGAACAGGAGCAGCAGCAGAATGACTTTTCCATATCCAGACATGCATCACGACTGTGACTCACTGAATCATTCACAATGGTGGGTTTTAACAGGAAGGAGGAGAATAAAAGCAAGAATAAACTTGCTGAACAAGATAAGTTTGTATGCAGCAACCTTTGCGATCCACCTACCTTTTCCTTAAAGGCACCTTTCCATCAGCCAAGCAGCACCCCATATTTGCTGAGGAAAGATCTTGCATGGTATCCCTGGTCTCTCCACTTGGTTATCTTCAGGCTGGAGCTGCCAAGAAGGTCAGCTGCCTATCTGAAGAGATCTGCCTTGGCTGGTCTCCTCCCCAGACTCAGTCTGGGCCCTGCTGCATCTGGCTGTGGGCACCTCTGTGTGGGGAAGGGAGCACAATCCCTGAAGGCTTTCCCCTGGAACAGCAGAAAAAAAACCAGGAGCTCTTGGCAAGAAGGCACAACTGTAAGAAAAGAGAGTGATGAGGTAATACATGGGTGGTGGTGGGCGTCAGTGAGAGAGAAGAGCAGTCATTTGTCACCCTGATTTATTGAGCAGGGATTATTTACAACCATATCCACAGTGCAGTGATGGAGCTGTGGCTTTCATGGGGGTGACGTGTCTGAGTTCAGTTCTAACTGCCTGGGGGTTCCCAGGTCACAGGTCCTGGCTTTCCTTTCCTGCCAGGTAGACGTGACACCTGGAGCGCTTTTTGTTCCCCTCCCCTTGTTTGCCAATGGGAAGAGGAATTTCATTGCGTTAATCTGGGAGCAAAAGCCAAGAGAACAAAAAGCAAATATTGCAGGACTGGCAAAAATCACAAGAGCTGGCAGCACTGCCCGGAGTTTGTCTCTTTGTTACCCATTCTAGAATAATTGAGAGAGACTTAACCAACCCACTGGCATAGACAGGGACACACGATGCCTTGTAAAACTCAGGGCAGAGAACAGAATGCAAAGACAGAATTTCAGTGTGAGAGTCTTGTGGATCTAGTCTCTCTCTGTGAATGCCCTTATTCCCTGCTGTGTCCCCAAAATCCTGTGGATTTCAGCACAGGTACTCTTTGAGCCTTCTGCCAAACTGCAGGGGAAACAAAGTCCAAATGACAGGCACATGCACATGAATTAAGAAAAAGAGCTTATTAACTGCAGGCAGTTGCCAAGTCAGTGTGTTTAGACTGAATCCAGTAAATGCTGCAGACCAGCTTTGATTCCCACTGCTCCTGGCATTTCAGTGGCAAGAAGCATTTTGTGGTATAAACTTATCCTTAGTTCACTCTTGGTTCTCCAAGACTCTCCTGGGACTTGTTTGATATAACGTGATTGTCTCGATGTCACCACAGTAAGGACCTGTGAGCCACATCCTGCGTTCCTCAGGCATCTGGCACTTTCAGGACTACAGAAATATCCGCTCCAAGGCTAACAACTCTAACAAAAAGTTAAATATGCCCTTTCAGAAAAACACCACAGTTGGAGGCTTCAAGTTTTCTCTGAGGTCCGAAACTTTGAAACCAGTTCCCCATAGGGAGTCATGGTTTCAAGGAGGGCAACAGTTTGCATTGTTAAAAATGTCAAGACAAGCAAGTTTCCAGGGAATCCCATTTCTGCCTGCTGAAGGACAGCTGTCTTAACCAGGCACTGGTCAGACCTTTCCCCAAGGAAGCACACCAAGCCTAACATCCTCCAGCATCCAAGTCTCCTCTCTTTCACTCCAGTTTGGGTTAGAAAGCATTGGAAGAGGTTTGACTGATGTAGACACAGTGGTAATGGTAACATGGTATCTTTCCAGGACAGAAATAGGGCAATTTGTTTTGGCAAGAACCAGTAACAACAGCACCAAAGATCCTGGCAAAACGGGAGTGAGAGCCATCGGGCAGAGGTGGTTAAAATACAGCATAAACCGAGACAACTCCAACAATGTTGTGGGTGAACAGAATGGGTTTTTCTCTGTCTATACACAGACACACATCTATCTATACAGATACACACACACAAATATATGCATTCAGGTAGAAGCATTATTCAAAGAGGGGTTAATTTTAAGCTGCTGATGCCCATCAGTGCAAGGCGCAAGTTGGAGTCTGGAAGCACTTGGAAGAGTTTCCTTTTGTGGGTGTAGAGCTGCTAAATTGCAGTGTAGAGGCAGCAATGGGTCTCTCTCAGGGAGGCTGTGCAGCACAGCCCCAGGAGGAAGGCTGGTGCCTCCACTTCCCCACATACCTTTCATCACGAGTCAGAGCTAGGCTGCAAGGAGGATTTGCTGCCTTGTCACCTCCTCCTCCTGCACCTCTCATTGGAGTTTACATCAGCCTGGATCTGGCCTGGCTCATTTAAACAAAGCCATCAAAGAAAATATCCCTGTGTTTTCCGAAGCACAAACGGATTTGGAGAGCCCAGCACAGCAAACAGCCGTGTAAAACTCGCCTGACAAGCACAATATCCCCGATGTAAACCAAAAAAAAAAAACATGCCAAGGGAAAGCTTAATAGTCACCTGGAAAAAACATTAACTTGAGTTACATCTATTTTTCTAATGGCATATTGTGCATGTAACAAAACACCCACAAATAATTTTGGGACCAGGGATGTTGCCCCTTCTAATTGTTTTCATCATGGGGGCCGACAGGGCTCTTACGTGCGCTTTCGACTGCCACGGTGAAATATGTGTTCCCTGTTTGTTCTTGTTCTGCCTCTGCAGGAAATCAGAGACTCTGGCTTCCTGTAGGCTACAGATGCTTTATTCTTTGTATTCCCCAAATAGGAAGTCCTGGGGTCATTCTGCCAAATATATGGAAACTTAATTTCATTTCAACACAGGATTAATCACTAGGAAGTGTCAGGACATTGATGGTCTGATAACAAGACAGTTACAGCAGAAAACCTTTTATGGGCACCAGGGTTAAAGCATTTGGCAGCAGACATGAAGCTTTAAGTCTCTGCATCCAATGGGGAAGGAAGGCAACCTGATGAGAATTAACGCCGGCAATTGTGATAGCGGTGTTTTCTTAATGCCCTGTAAACCTCACCAAACTTTTAAGCCTTTTTATATTTTAAGAGGAAGGTAGATGATTGTATTTGATGACTAACCCCTGTTTTTGATGACTAAGCTCTGTGTTTTCACTCTACAAATCAAAACAGTCTGTGATAAAGTTCCTCTCCTTGCCACAGCCTGGCAATGGCACAGCTCCACTCAGTTGAAGGAAAGGCTTCCAGTGTGCACCCTCGGAATCACAGAATCATTAAGGTTGGAAAAGACCTTTAAAATCATGAAGTCCAGCCATTAACCCAGACCTGCCAAATCCACCACTAAGCTATGTCCCTACAAACCACATCTACACATTTTTTTAACACTTCCAGGGATAGTGATTCCACCACTTTCTTGGGCACCCTGTTCCAATGCCTAACCACTCTTCCACAGTGAGGAAATTCTTCCTCATATCCAATCTAAATTTCCTCTGGCACAACTTGAGGCCACTTCCTCTCACCCTGTCACTTGTTACCTGGAAGTCACAGATCAGTCCCTTACTGCCACTGCATGTCAGAGGGGTTCAGATTTCGAGGCTAATGGAACACTGGAAAACCCAATTGCTAAATTCAAGTCCAGGAGCAATTAAATGGAGTTCCAAGTGTGCTCAGACTATCTGTTTTAAGCACTGTTTAAATACAGACAATGCCACACTGCTGTGAGGTTAACAATTATTATTATTCCCATTATAAAGGTGGGGAAAATGAAGTACAAACACTGAGAGCTTGATCTGTGCCCATGGAGTTAGGCTTTTCGTCAGCACCCGGGGACTGACAGCATCAGTCATAGAATTAAAGAATCATAGAATGGTTTGGGTTGGAACAGACCTTAAAGATCAATCAGTTCCAACCTCCCCTGCCATGGGCAGGGACACCTTCCATTAGACCAGGTTGCTCACAGCCCCATCCAACCTGGCCTTGAACACTTCCAGGGATGGGACATCCACAACTTCTCAGGGACTTCCAGGTCTTTCTTGAATATAATGTCACCTCCTACCATAGAGGAAGAGATCTGTCTAAATCACAGGACTTTGTGAGGACAGCATGCTTCTAAAAACAGCATCAGCTCAGCATTTTCTACAATGAGTAAATAGGGAGTGAGGAATCTTTACAGAAAGGAAGATCCCCTTCACAGAGACCAGCAGGCTTGTGGTGCTCTGCCCAAACTGCTCTTGTGCTATGTACAAATGGAGCTATCAACTCCTCACTTTTAAAAACACACTGCAGCAAATGTTTCAATTTCTACCCTTTTTTGAGTTCATGTGACATCTGCTATGGAAAAGCTGTCAGACCAGCCCATTGTGCTTCACATGCGTCCTCCATCTCTACTGTCTGAAGCAGAAGATGAGAAAAACTGGGTGTGTAGAGGGATTCCCTCTGCCCACCACATGAGATCACCCAGCTGCCACCAAGCTTCCCACGCCAGCAGAGCTGAGAGGCTCACCACGGTCCTGAGCAACCTCACAGGCCATTTCACCAGGCAAGTCCAACACTACAAAAATGTCCCTCGATGAACAAGACTCTACCATCAACACCGTGCCCTCAGGATAAACTGTGGGATGCACAACTGAAGGAGAGGGAAGCCTTGGGGCAAGACTGCACCACTTTTCTGTCTTAACTCAGCTCTGCAAAGCTCCCCTTTCCTTGTAATTAATCCCTGTCTCATTCAGTGATGTAGTGTGGACATTCACCTAAATCCGTTAATAAGCCGAGGGATTTGAGCATGAGTTTAATATTAAACTCACTGTTAAATGTTCTGCTGAATAGAAATAGAGCCAGAAATTGGCTTATGTGCTTTGCTGAATAAGAACAGCTTGCAGCAGTTCAGCATCAGTGGTGAAGGGAGATTACTCTGTGAGAATGATTCACTTCACTCAAGCCCAGACAACCCAGAGCTCCACAAGCCAGATCCCACCCTGCTTGTAAAGGGACTTGAGAACACGAGAGGCTGGAATTGAGCAATGATGCATATGATGAGTGCTGCCACAAGACACCCAGGATGTGAAAATAACAAATGCAAAAAAGGTTCACTGCAGAGCATCTCTCCCTTGGGGGTCTTCACGAACCTGCAGAAACGCTGCATGAAGAGAGTGGTGACCTTATCGAACTGATGTACAGCAACTGAGCCAAACCGCCTGCACTTCAGTCAGCTCCACTTAGCAGCTCTTGTGTACACTACAAAGCCTTTACCAGCAGCTAAGATGGCTGATTTATGTCAGCAGACTCAGCTTATATTTGGAAGGGGGTGATTTGGAAGATTTATCTTAATGTCCTCCCTGAACAAAAGGAGCTGTGTTCTTCTGCTGGTCTAAATTCCGCTTACTCTGCTTGCTTTCTTGATCCACCCAACCTGGTTTGGGAAATAATGTCTTTTCCCCAGAAAAATTTCAGAACACCAGCTTGATCGATGCAGTGGCAAACACACATAAAGAGGTGAGTCTAGGAGAAATGAAAAATAAAGGTGACAAGAGGCAGGAAATTTGGGACAAAAAACAGGCAAGGAACAGCTTCCCAGTGGTAAATCATTTTTGTTACAGGCAAAACCCAAAGGAAAAAAAAACTAAACAGCTTATCACAGAAACAGTCATGCTAAAAGCCTGTCACAGACTGAGTTTACATTAGCAGATTAAAAAAAAGACACGAA